TCCGGGAGCGGCGTGGATGACATTGCCGCCCCTGAGCTCCGCAGTTGGTGGTGGGAAGAAGCTCATTGCTGGTGAAGAGTGAAGGCTTGATTTGCTCTGTTTGCCTCCAGCTTTGAGGAAGGCGGCAGGAGAAAGTGTGGCCAGTACTGGCCTCTAGAGAAAGACTCACGGGTCCGATTTGGCTGCCTCACGGTCACCAATCTAGGAGTGGAGGACATGAACCATTACAAGAAAACGACGCTCGAAATTCACAACACGGAGGTAAGTGGAGCTTCGATTTTCTCAGGGTTTGTAAACTAGGCAAGCTCCTTAAAGAGATTCTCATTGAGTGTGTGATGCATACTGTTAATCTTAGCACTCAGCAAGAACAGGCAGGCGGATATCCGTGAGTTCAACGTCAGCCTGGCCTATGTAGGAGTTTCAGGCCATCCAGGACTACATATTGAGTTCCTGTTTCAACAAAACAAAAACAGAAAAAGAACATTTCTAGAGAGAATAGGCAGGATTTTATGGAGGCTATAAATTGCTTTTGTTTTTTCTGTAAACAAATTAAAGATACTCATGTAAAAAGCCAGTTATGTGGTGCATGCCTTTAATCCCAGAACTCCAGAGACAGAGGCAGGTGTATCTCTATAAGTTCAAGGCCAGCCTGATCTACATAGTAAGTTCCAAGCCAATGCTACATAGACACACACGCACACATACCCCTTCCAAAAATAGATATTCAATTCAGAACTTATATAGTCGTTGTCTCAATACAAGAGTGGCATTAAAGAGAAAACTTTCAACATTGGGAATCTGGGTCTTAAGCCATGCTTATTATCCTATCATGCAGGAGGCTGAGCCAAGATTACAAGTTTGAAAACAGCCTGGACTACATAATATGGATCTTGTCTCAGAATACTCCAATAAGGGCCTAGAGAGATGAGGGCTTAGCTGTTAGAGTCCTTGCTACTCTATCATGAGATGGAGAGTCAGATCATGGCACCCATGCATCACTGGGAGCCCCATGCATACTTACCAACAACTCTGATGGAGGTAGAGGCAAGAGGATTCCTGGGCTTTCGGGCTTATAGGCTAGCTGTGGCTACATGAACTCCAGGTTCAGAGAGAGACTCAAAGGAACAGACAGAATGTGTTAGAGGAGGACACCTGATTTCTTTCTCTCGCTTGCATGTGTACATATGCACACATGTACATATACCCATACACATAGATGTAATTGCACACACAAATGGAGTAAATCAATAAGTAGATATATATGTTATTGTTCTATTTTGAGACAATGTATCTCACTGTAGCCTTGACTGGCCTGGAGCTCACTAGCTGGGCTCAAAGTCATAGAAATCTGTCTGCCTGCCTCTGCCTACTGCATTCTGGGATTTAGAGGTGTGTTCCACCATGCTTAGCAATTTTTTTTTTGTTATTACAATTTAATTACAACACTTCTCCCTTTCCTTTCTTCCTTCTCTAAACCTTCCCTGTTCTTCAAATGCATAGCTTTTTCCACTAATTATTATTGCATGCATATACATATTCATGTATGTGTTATTGTATGCAAATATATATATTTGTATACATATTATATTCCTAAATATAACCTGTTGAGTCCATGTAATTACTTGTATTATGTTTGCAGAACTGACTGGCACTGGACAACTAGTTGGTATGCACTATCCTGGGGAAGACCCAAAAAAAAAAAACAAAAAAAAACAAAAAAAAAACCTTTTTATTTATTTTTTTTTACTACAAAAATAAACAAGAAATATGGGTCCTACAATATAGTGATCTGTCTTCCCAAAACATTTAGCCCTTCCTCCAGGTTTGAGGTAGAGAAGCAATTGTGATGAGAGCAGAAGACAGGAGCCTTTGTGGTCCAAATGCTAAGGTGTTAAGAACCTGCAAAAACCCAGGGTAGTCACAGTAGATGGGAATGATGGCATTAACTTTTGCTTCTTTTTTCCTTTTTGTTTTTTTAAATGTAAGGAGCGGCAGAAACGCCAGGTGACCCACTTCCAGTTCCTGAGCTGGCCAGATTATGGTGTCCCTTCCTCAGCAGCTTCTCTCATTGACTTTCTGAGAGTGGTGAGAAACCAGCAGAGCCTGGCGGTCGGCAGCCTGGGAGCACGGTCCAAAGGGCAGTGCCCTGAGCCGCCCATCGTGGTCCACTGCAGTGCGGGCATCGGCAGGACAGGTACTGTGCCTCTTACCCCGGTGCCGGTGCGGTGGAGAGGAGGGGAGCTCAGTCAATCCCTTGGTGGCAAACTCTATGAGAAGCACTCTTTAATGCCCTTTTGGATTCTTTATGCTGGGGATACTACTTGTCAAAATATATAATTAACAAACCACGTCCTTGGAATTGTTTTATACATTCCATCATCATGGTCTTCTGACCTTGTCAACTCTGTCAGCACCATGATTGTGATCCCCAGAGAGATTAGCTGGCCCTCCCTGGGAGCCTCTTTTCCATGTGCTGGTCTGGTCTTTCCCTCCCCTCTCTTCCTTTCCTTTTTGTTCTTGTAGTTTTGGGTGTTTTTTTTGTTTGTTTGTTTTTTTTTTTTGAAACCAGTCTTACTATGAAGTCTGATCTGACCTGGAATTCACAGCAATCCTTTTGCCTTAACCTCCTAAATCATGGGATTATAAGCTTGTACCATCGTATGTGGCTTCTGTGTTCTTCATTATGGAGCTGATTAATAGCTTTGGCTTAATGGGACATGTGCTGTATGAGCTGCTGGCTCTGAGTTCAGAGGTCCCTTTGGGAGAAAAATCAGGACAAATTTGTGGTAGACCTGTGGAGAGTACAAGCTCTGGAAACTGGCTGTGGAAGTACTGTTGCTCTGATGGTATTGAAGCCGGAAGTTCCTCTGCATTACTTACCTACTTCCTCGTCTTGTTACCCCCATGTATGTTCTGAGAAACAGGAGACTCTGTCATTTCTCTGGCCTTTAGCACAGCCTGCGATACTTTGAGGCCTAAGTCCTCTTGCTATCAGACCTTTTGCCTTTGAATTCATCCATCCAGTCTTGCGAGGTGATTTGGTAAAAGGAAGAATATGAAGGAGGAACAGTCATGTGACTATTTCCTTTCTTCTTCAGGTACCTTCTGCTCACTGGACATCTGCCTGGCACAGCTGGAGGAGCTTGGCACCCTGAATGTGTTCCAGACAGTGTCACGCATGAGGACACAGAGGGCCTTCAGTATCCAGACCCCTGAGCAGTACTACTTTTGCTACAAGGCCATTCTGGAGTTTGCAGAAAAGGAAGGCATGGTCCCCTCTGGTCACAGCCTGTTGGCCATGGAGGGTCAATAACTGTTCCACGAGTTTCCACCTGCTGGCCAGCCTTCCTTAAACTACCCTGGACACCGCTGAGCCTCTAGGTTGCCATCAGTTACGCTGAAGCCATGGATCAGCCTCTTTCTCGTGTCTCCCAGCGCACATGTGCACGCAAGGCAGCCTTTCCCTTTGGCTAGATAATGTGGTGCAATTGCCACTAGAAAGGGCCAGCAGCAATGTGTTCTTAATTCCTAGCACCTGCTATTGAACTGTGCCTTATTAAAACCAAATTGTGGCTGTTGATTTTTGCCAGGGTCCCTGAGGTAAGTGGGGAAGGAACCCCTATCTCCCAATGCCATTCTTCTTCTAGAAGTCTCCTCCTTCCCTTTGCTAGGATTTGACAGGGAGGTTCGGTGAGCATTCACCTTCCTGCCCAGAGAGCTTGACCAAGTTACATATTCTAGAGAATGTCCCGAGTGCCAAGCACGTTTATACATAGGGCGTGTATTCCAGTCTTTTCTGTCATTCTGTGTGTGTGCGCGTGTACTTACGTGTATGGATCCATATGTATGTGTGTATATAATATATACTGTATGTGATAATATGGTCGTATTCTATAAATACATATACACACAGATACTCTTTGTAGAAGTTCCTGGGGCTTCCTGTTGCAGTTGAGCATTCCTCGCTTCTTGGACCCTGCTGATTAGTCTGGACTAGCTGGGGTTGGGGATCATGCTCGTCGTCAGAGAGCAGTGAGAGAAGACCACACATACTATCCCAGGCCACAGGCCCTCTTCCTTACTGGACCCTTTCCCTCTGGACTCTGCTTGTGGGAGTCAACAATACTGACTTAGGGTAACACTGGTTCAGTTTCGCATGGGTTGTCCTTCATCTAACAAATTCTGTTTACTTTGCTGATTTGGGGAACAGACCTCCACTGTGATTCCAGACTCTGTCTTATTACCCCAGCATTGGGGGGGTCCAAGGCTAGAGATGAATTTACAGAGCTGCCAGAGCCAAAACTAATCGGTACGAAGTCTTAAAAGAAAGAAGGAGAATCCTGGAGTGAATGAGAGGAACCTACTATGAAATTCCCTTCCTGGGAAGACAAACTGGGGCCCCTTTTCTTTTGTTGGAGACCCCTTTCTTTATGCAACTCTTCCTTGTCTACTGAGATACCCAGCTCTCCCTGCCTGCTAGCCTGCCAGATCCTAGACCTCAAACTGGATGGGTTCTATGTCCTTTATAAAGCGTGCTCCCCTTGGCTGGATGAGGTAGTTCCTGTAATCACTGGTTCCCTGCCCATCCAACTTGTTCTTGTCTTTTCCCAGTCTGATTCACCAGGAATGGAATCAAGAGTTCTCAACACTCAGTGTTCATACAAAACCCCACTGAATCCCTAAACCTTTCCCTACTCCAGATGATGAGGTTGGCAGCTGGTCAGACCCAATAATTTTATACTGTAAGAAGATCTTTGAATGTGTATATTCTTATTTTTTACAATCATTTCATTTTGTATTTAACATCAATGGACTGAATCAGATTCAGTAAATAATTGTAATGTTCATATTCAATATCTTATAGTGGTACAGTTTTGTATTTACATATAAATATACCAACATGATTAAACACTTTTAGCTTCATCAATTTAGCAGTCTGTGGTTGGGAAGGTGAGGAGGGAGTCCAGGAGCTGGTTCTGGACAGGTGGGGTGGCAAAGAGGGATCCAAAGCTTCAATGAGATTCAGTTCTGAGAGGCACCTGCCATGTCTGTGGCTAGGGTCTTAGCTTTGGACAAACTGAACCCTTGTTGTATGGCCATCTTAGTGCTAAGTGTTTTGTCTCCTGTGTCACTTCACTGAAACATCACAGTTCTAGTGGATATCCTCTGTGCTTCCTCCACATCCTCCTTCCATTTCTCCAGTGTTGGGATTACAGACATGTGCTGCTTCATCTGGTGTCTTTCACCTAATTATAAAGGAGAAATGTGTATAATGATATAATAATATAATGTATAAATGAGAAAGGTGAGGTCCAGAGGAATACAATCATTTGGTCTAAAACTGTAACCCAAGCTGTCTCTTGACATCAGATCTGGAGTGGTACTTGTCTTTAGAGACTGTTAGGATTTTTTGTTGTTCTGTTCCTCTTAGAGTATAATTGGTTTGAAAACTCTAGGACAGTTCATGGTTTTGTTTTGTTTGTTTGTTTGAGACAGCATCTTACCACATAGGCTGTTTTTGAACTCAGGCCAATCCTCCTACCTCAGTCACCCAAGGGCTGGGATTATAAGGCATATACTGCTTCACCCAGCTTAGGTAAATTGACCTTGAGCTCATTGCCTTGTAGTGGACTTGAAAGATCACAGAATTGGTGACATTCTCCCAGATGGGGATCTCTTGTCTATCCTCAGATCTGCACAGTACCAAAGGGGTTAAGCTTCCAGAGAAACCCCACCAACCCTGTCCTGCTGGTCTTTCTCTTGGAGTGGAATAAGAAGCATTGGCCTTGTAGGGACACTCTTCATATCACGTGTTTAGTACCCATTAGCCAGTGACACACTGCCCCATTGGAGCAGCTATGGCCTGCAACATGCAAATATTAGGGTGTTGTAAATAACAATAATAACAAACAACATTCAGTGGAAACCAACCATATTCTAGGTCCTGTTCAGAGTACTCTATAGATATTAACACATTCACTTTCAATAACTACTTGAAAATAGGTACTGACAGAAGAGTTGAAATACCATAATGTTAATTTGCTATGCTGTATATCAAAGGCCCCCTTTTACATTAGAAGTTTCTAGGGATCTCTGTTTCTTGATATGCCAGCACATTTTTCTTGATGTTTTTACTTTAACCAAATCTCAACTGTTGGATGTTGTGGAACTCGATCTCAGTATTGGAGAGGTAGAGGCAAGTTGATTAGGAGTTCAAGGCCAATGTTGGCTATACTGGTAGTAGGAGCCCAGCCCAGCTACGTGAGACATTTGTCTGAAGAAGAAGAAAAAAAAAATGGTAGCAGATTAAGACAGAATCTCTAAAATTTGAAATTAAAGATATGCTGAATTAGAGAGATTATAGAAATATTTAGGGTTTGTAAAATATCAGGAAACAAGCATTAACAATAAAAAGCCTTGAAGAGGAAATTCAGAACTGTTATTTGTTCACACGTGCTGTAACTTTGCCCTGTAAATGCTCAATTCAAAGTTGTGCGCTAGTTCCTAGGTGCCAGTTCCTGGGCCCACCCAGTTGGTGGCTGAGTGACTAGAGGATGCCCTAGGCTTTTGGAGGCTTAATTTGCTCATGTCTCAAGATTCTGGTCACAACCAATGATGTCTCCTGAATATTCAGTAAAACCCCGGAGAGAAAAGGATTCAGTAGTTTTCACCAAACTGCTATTATGAATAGTGTTATCTTTATTAGTATTGAAATTAAAAAAAAAATGGTGGCTTTTAAAATTTTTTTTAGAAAATAATTTAGTACATGTATGTACATGGGTACTTGGGTCAAGAGGATAATTCTCACCTTGCACCTTGATGAGGTAGGTTGTTTGTCTGCCATGCTGTATATTCCAGGCGAGATGACTGCGTGGCTTCCGGACTGTTATCCCTTCTCTACCTCTCATCTCTCCCATGAGTGTTGGGTTTACAGGTGCACGCCAGCATTTTATCTAGGTTTCAGGGATCAAATGGAGGTGGTCAGATTTTCTAGGCTCGCTAGTATCTTCATCCATTGAGGCATCTCCCCTGCTCTAATTTGTTTGAACTTTACAATTTTTAAAATTTTTATTTTCTGAGAAATCATGAGAATCCCGACTCAGCCTTCTGAGTGCTGAGATCACAGATAAGGGCCACTATGCCTATTTTTTTAGACTGGGTCTCACTGCGTTGCCTACATTGGTGTCAGATTTCTGGGCCTAAGTGCTCCTGTTGCCTGAATTTCCTATGCAGCTGGGATTACAGCAGATTTGCCCCACACCCAGCTGTGTGTAGCTATTGCCGGTGTGAGCCTACCTGGGGTAGGGTTTTTGTTTTGGGGATTTTGTTTGTGTGAGACAGGGTTTCTCTATGTAGACCAGGCTGGCCTGGAACTCAGATCCATCTGCCTGCCTCCCAAATGCTGGGATTAAAGGAGTATGCAACCCACCTGGCTTGGTAGTAGACCTCAGTGAGCCTAAGGAAGAGACGCTCAGAATGCTCAGGACCGGAGGGGCATAACACAGTCAATAAAGTTCGGGAAGTGTGTTCATGGAATGAAGAGCACTGTGGGCCTATGCAGACTTCTGCTTCTGATTGGATTATCTCCCCCTCCTAACATTCCTATGGTTTCTAATTGCTCAGGCACAAAGGATCATCTCTCTGTGCTCTGTATTGCTTCCTTCATGCAGCTAGAACGACGTGTGAAGTGATCCCCCACATCTTCAGCCTAGGAGACCTGCCATTGCTAGTGTCTGTTACAACGTACTGGTCAATGGCAAGAGTATGAGTGTGGAGTGGAAGAGGCTGGGGTGTGTGTGGCTGGTGGAGTATGTAGTCTCACGACCCCAGGGAGAATTGGCTTTGCTCATAAAAGGATGCATTCAATCTCTGGGGCAGCCCCAAGTGCAGGAACTTGCAAATTAATGTGACCTGAGGGAGGTGAGCTCTGAGACTAAGGTGGCTGAATTGGCTAGACAGAAAGGTTTTCCTAGAATGACTGAGGTCTGTAGTGGTTCTGAGGCTTTAACCTATTCAACCCATCCAAGTCCTAGCTTCCTTCTTTAAAAGGGGCTACTTTAAACAATCACATACTATAGGTCCACTAAAGGCCTAGTTTTTTAGAATTATCAGGTTCTTCCTTAGGCTGGATTAGCTTCCACTTTATCTCCCCAATTTTATCTTATTTTCAAAGGCTCTTCTTTCAAACTCGTGCCATTTCCTTGGATTCCCTCAGTTCTTTTCTATTTCACCCCCAACTTGGATAGAATGTAGGTTAAGGCCTAGGTATGGTGGTGTGTATCTTTAATCCTACCATCAGAGGCAGACAAGATCTCTATGAGTTTGAGGCCTGCCTGATTTGCATTACAAGTTCCAAGACAGCCAAAGTTACATAAAGAGACCCTGTCTCAAAATGTAAAACAAAACCAGAGGAGGAGGAGGGAATGGAAAGAAAGAGGTACCCTTCACTCTCCAAGTCTTTCTCTTCCCAGTTGCTCTCTGTGGCATGGCAGGTGTCTGAGAGCCAAAGAATTACCTTGCCAAGCATCCCAGGGTTCCTGCTCTGTCTTAGCTTTGTTTGGGGTCTAGGTCTCAGTCCACTGGTCATGTGGGAGTCGAAGGTCTGCTCGACAGAGAGTCAGGCTTTTTGAGGGGGGAGCTATCTTTCCCATACGTAACCATCAAACAACTTTTTTTTTTTTCATTGTACTGTACTTAATTGAACAGAGGAGACAATTCTCTAGATAGGAATCTAGCATTTGGGAAGTTGTTTAATCTCCATCTACTTAGTCATAGCCATCATAGTGCCTTTCCTCCAAGTTCAGTTAAATACTGAAGTGGTTAAGACTCACATTCTTCAGGCTAAGGCCTTGGAAGATGTAGAACTATACTAGAATCTCTCTAGGAAAGATAGGTATAGGGTGGGAGCTACTGTGTTTTTTTTTTTTTTTTTTTTTTTGGTTTTTCGAGACAGGGCTTCTCTGTGTAGCTTTGTGCCTTTCCTGGAACTCGCTTTGTAGACCAGGCTGGCCTCGAACTCACAGAGATCCGCCTGCCTCTGCCTCCCAAGTGCTGGGATTAAAGGCGTGTGCCACCACCACCGCCCAGCTATACTGTGTCTTCTTAAAGAACAGCTTAAAGTAGTTAATATGTTCCTGATGGTTACTGGGACTCTGGTGGCTAGCGTCACCAAAGGCTGATTTCCCTGTAGTTGTATACCACATTAAATTCTTCTTGTTTTCTAAGCTACTGCAGAGTTTTGTCTAAAACTTTCAAGTCTGGCCAGATCCAGAGCAGAGCAAAGGTTAGCCATTTCATCTAGTGGCATCTCTTCATTTACTTCCCAACTTAAGTGCATACCCTGCAGGGTGCTGTCTGGGAGGAAGCTTGAGGGAATGGGGAAGGAATATGGACAATGCTCAGGCTGCCTTCACGTCTACTCAAACAAGGGATCCCTTTATCTCTTTGATAGTGGGCTTCTCAAGTAGATTTTATTTGAACAGAGGAACCTGTTGTCTTAAAAAAAAAAAAGTCACCAGCCACCAATAATACAAGGCCAGATAAACTGGGGGGAATATCCTATTGTTATATTTGCCTTCCTGATTTAGGATTGTAGTGACCCTGGGTAACTAGTGTCAATGAAGAGAAGACATTTCCTAGTGAGTAACCTCAGTCTTTAAACCCACTAAGAGATTCTAACGTTCTAATAATAAATATTGCAGCATATGCCACTGAAGAGAGAGAGAGAGAGAGAGAGAGAGAGAGAGAGAGAGAGAGAGAGATATGGATGAGAGTTTTTTCTTTGAGATCTGCAATGCCAGGGACTTTGCACTTAAATGGCCAGGAGAGGAGTGTGGTGACTTTGAAAAAGGAAGAAAAGGTGAATGAAGGACTCTTGACTGTTTGCTAGACATACTTATTTTCAATTCCCGAAATTACTACACCTACTACTGTAGGACAGAATCTAGGGGACAGGCAGAAGGATCAAAAGTTCAAGATTGGTGGCTTAGCGGTTAAGAGCTCTTCCAGGAGACCCGGGTTCAATTCCCAGCATTCACATGGAAGCTCACAACTGTCTGTAACTCCAGTTCCAGGGGACCCTCACACAGACATAAACACAAGCAAAATACCAATGCACATAAAAAAAAGTTTAAGGTCATCCTTGTCTATATAGCAAGTTCTCGGTCAGTGTGGGGTATGAGAGATCTTGTCTCCAAACAAAGCCCTGGAAGCCTAGGAGTTGTGCTATAATTGTCAGAGGTTCTGTCATCAGTAACTGAAACAAAGGCCCTCACTGACTCTTGAGCAGGAAGATCACAAGCAGAGGGAGTTCAAAGTCCTGTCCAGGCCAGGCCACTAGTGAGATCTTACCTCAAATTTTTTTAAAAAGTTAAAAAGCTAAACACATTTGTGTTCCATGTGCTCACATTTGTATTACTGGCACTGAGGATTCAGGAGCCTTGGGCAGGATCATCATGAATTCTAGGCCAGCCTGCGCTATGTGAAACCCTGTCTTAAAAAGATAAATAAGGTGTGTTGTGCTGGGAGGGTAGCAGCTTGAGAGATAGATAGCTTAGTCAAGTTTTCGTCCCACAAGAATGAGGACCTGAGTTCAATTTCCTGCACCCATGGAAATCAACACAGGGTGGCAGATGATTTTTAATTCCAGTAGTGGGGAAGAAAAGATAGGCCAGACACTCTGGTGTGTGAATGAGTTCCTTTTTGTGAATGAGGGTGTGTATACCATGTCCATGAAGTAATAGACAGTGACAGTTTTGAAAATATACATTGTGAATTAAAGACCCATGTCTGTATGTGGCTAGGAGACAAATCTTGCTTCTTTGAGTACAATTTTTCTAGAACTATATGATGACAAAGTGCTGTTGTTAGAATTGGGGAGGTTAGGTTTGTGCCTCAGGGGAAAAGGTAGGGTGTTCTCTCCAGAGGCCCCAGCTTGGATGGTAGCCTGAGTGTATGCAGAAATAGCATGTGGGGGAGTGAACAGACTCAGGATTTGCACTTAGATAAACTTGCCTTGGCTATTTCATGTAGGCAAGTCCCTCTACTGGCTGTGCTTATCCATAATTAAGGATAATAGTGTCTAACTCAGAAAAGTTCTAGGGGATTTCACACGAATACATCCCGATGCGGATTTTCCAAGGAGGACACTCACCCAGATCCATTGTACCTTCACTACTAGGGGAGTGAGAAATAGGCAGCATCTTTAGTACAGCCAAAGGATAACGTCCACATAATCCTGAGTCAGAAACAGTCATTGGGTCCCTTCCTGGGGCTCCTTGACTGCACTGAACACTGAGATTCCCCAAAGGTGAATTAGATAAAGTGGTTGTTCTTTTTTTTTTTTTTTTTTTTTTTTTTTTTTTTGGTTTTTCGAGACAGGGTTTCTCTGTGTAGCTTTGCGCCTTTCCTGGAACTCACTTGGTAGCCCAGGCTGGCCTCGAACTCACAGAGATCCGCCTGGCTCTGCCTCCCGAGTGCTGGGATTAAAGGCGTGCGCCACCACCGCCCGGCGTGGTTGTTCTTTCAAAGAGCTCAATCTAAGAGGTATTCAGAAGGGTGTAAGTATCAGCCATTCCTTTCTCTATAATGAAGGTGGAGAGATGGCTCCGTGGGTAAGAGCACTCGCTGCACAAGCAGGAGGAGCTGAATTAAACTTCCCATATGGCCAGGCAGTGGTGGTGCCCACCTTTTATCCCAGCACTTGGGAGGTAGAGGCAGGCAGAGCCCCATGAGTTCAAGGCCACTCCAGTCTACAGAGTGAGTTCCAGGACGGCCAGGGCTACAAACACAGAGAAACCCTGTCTTGAAAAACAAACAAAAACAAACAAACAAAAAACAGAGAGAGAGAGAGGAGAGAGAGAGAGAGAGAGAGAGAGAGAGAGAGAGAGAGAGAGAGAAGCCCAATATGACTTTTTACATGTATACCTGTAACCCAAGAGCTGGGGACGAGGGG